CCCCCCCCCGAGGGTGTAAGGCCTGAGGTTCGAGAGCTCTGCAAAACGTTAGGGACTAGGGTTTAGGGTTTAGAGTTTAGAGTTTAGGGTTTAGGGCTTAGGGCTTAGAGTTTAGGGTTTACGGTTTACGGTTTAGGGAAGTACTGAAACTCTGGGCGAAGCAGGCATGATGAGGGATCTCTAGGGAACACGGATAACACCTGCAGCACAAGAGTTTGGATCTCTAGGGATATCCATGATGTAAGAGTAGTTCATGGTCATCATAGCCTTTTCCTAAACCTGGTAAGATTTTCAGGCGATATTCTAGCTTACAGAAAGCAGCTGCACATGGAAACCTTTTGTTCGTAATTCCCGGTAACCGCAGAAGCCATATGTCCAGATGTCTTGTTGGAGCGTCCATGAGCCACCGGCCCCCCCTTTTGTTGTTTGAAAGAAAATCCTCCTAGTGGAGAAGTGGCCTTGGAGAAGTTAGCTGCGTCTTCGGGGTGTGAGCTTACACACTCCGGACACGGGCTTGTGCCTCCAATGCCTATGCGCCGATGCTCTTGCTGTATTCAATGGTGTAGGGCACTAGTTCTAGGTAGTATTAAGGAGACACCTGAACGGGGACCCTTCTTAACCCTACTGATGGCTCTCTTAAAAGGGACCTTATCGAGAGGGTATCTATCCCCAAGGGTCCCCCTGGTCCTAACTCCTAATTAGAAACTGGAAAGGCTGGAATAAGTTAAGGCTGCGAGGATGTTTGCATTCGATAATGAGACACTCTCCCCCGGATGGGAGCATCTTCCGGTGACGTACAGAGCGGGGAATCTCCGCTGGTAGCTCTGAGCTGGGTTCATGTTTCAAGCAAGGTTTCGTCGAGTTCCTCTACTTGCGCGGATCCTTTAGAAGACAACGACTAGACTACATCGAATCAGGCGCATGCACTTCCAGTTTGGCAGCAGCTTTGGCCACAGATGCTTGAGATGCTATCTGTGGCCGTGGCAGGCCTTGATCCTGCTCTTTAAGAAGGGACCAGAGCTGATGGGGAGAAGTCAGAAGAACGAAAACAACGGTACCGACAGGAAGGACATAGTTGAAGGGATGTGAATGATGGTGTAACAGCATGTAACAAGAAGGCCCTTGAAGAAGCATACTACAACATAGCTAACATACATATATTTTGTTAAACTGTAAGCCCTAAACCCTAAACCCTAAGCAATACCCCCAGACCCGATGTTTTACTAGGTCCCCCGGTAGTACCCTTTTGCCCTTTTTCTTTTTGGGTTCCCTTATTAACACCAAACAGTAGGAAAAAGGGTATTATTATTAGTAAGGGGCTGCTGGGGAACCCAGTTTATACCAATTAAGGCCCCCAAACCGTTCGGGTCCAGGACCGGGCCGAAGCGTGGTCCGATCTCTGGTTTTCATCTCAGTGGATTTGGGTTTGGGGTTTAGGGGTTTAGGCGGTTTAGGGTTTAGGGGTTTAGAGGTTTAGGGTTCAGGGGTTTAGTGTTTAGAGGTTTAGGGTTTAGGGGTTAGGTATGGGGTTTTGGGTTTCTGATGGCGCATGAAACTCGGATGAGACCCTGAACTCCTTGCCGAATCAGTAAGCACACGTCGCAAGACTTCTAGCCCGATGCCATGCACCTCAAGGCCCGAGGTCGAAGGCTCACCCGAACCCCACTAGCTCGAAATGCAAAGCCCGTAAGTTCCGAAATCCAATAAGTCCGCATTAAACGACTTTCAATGTTAGTCCCATGAACTACACAACGCTCGACATTGTCGCACCTGAACCCTGAACCCCCACTCTTCATCTCCCGAACAGCAAGTTTCGGAGTTCTGGGTGAAAAGAAGCATCGAAGCCAATGCTCTGATCCGCTTCTGCAGAGCTCCGACCCCTCCTCAGTTTTGACAAGGAAGGGAACACGTCGTGCAATGTCAGAGCGCGCCGACTCGAGGTTTAAAGGTGGGGTTGCACCGTTGAATGGCCAAAGTACCAGTGGACACGATATGAGCCATGACGACGGCGAGTTTTATTATTCGTTAGGGATCTTAATCAGGTTCTTATATGACTGTGCTAGCATCTCGGGTCAGTAAGGCATTGGCTTTGTGACGGCAGGTGGTGTACCCTCCTCAGTTTCCGAAGCTCCCCGAGCAGTCGCAAACTCAGAGCTATCTCAGACATTATATAGTATTGTAATATCATCTGTTTTTTCATACTCAGTATTATGTTATATTACGTTATAGACTTGTAGTGCCATATATTACGTTTTATTATGTGGTATTGCTTCTTGAGTATGGGCCCGAGCTTTCGCTTAGTTGATGGACCAACTGTCATGCTCGGGCATCCGGCTCAGACGGACGTCCAAAGAGTCTTGAGCCTGCTCGAGGACTAGGCTACGAAAAAGCCTATACCCTCAACCCTACACCCTCAACCCTAAACCCCGAAACCCTATACCCTCAACCCTAAACCCCCAAACCCGGAACGCCGTGCAGGTCTAGGCCCACAGTCTCTCAGCCTCCAGAGCCACAAGAACATGGTGCCAGGGTGTTTTGCCTCTTGTCTTCCCCAGAAAGTGTTGTTTCGGATGTCCGGGCTTTTCAGGTCCAAGTATTCGGAGCCCAAAACCCTATGCGATCCGGTGAGTTAAGTTTAGGGTTTAGGGTTTTAGGGTTTAGGGTATAGGGTTTAGGGTTTAGGGTATAGGGTTTAGGGTATAGGGTTTTAGAGTTTAGGGTATAGGGTTTAGGGTTTAGGGGCATGGCTGCGTGACTCCCAGTGCCATGGGTTCTTCTTTGGCGGCCCTCGTGTCGATAGTGGCTGCCGCCGACAGCGAGGCCCGGGGGAGTCTGAGACGCTCATTAAGCGATGCGTGGGTTGCTTCAAGCTACGGGTACATGTTAGGGGGGCCTTGTCTGGAGGATCCGTTTTCTGTTTCATTCATCTTCTGAATCTCCTATGTTGGGGTTTAGTTGTGGATTCGATAGGTTTGTCGTTTCGGTTTTCAGGTGAAGCTGTTTCCACACTTTTGGTGGTAGTTCGGAACTGATGGACAGATGTGCTGCACGGGGCCGGATGACAAACTTTCAACAGCTACACCTGCTTCGTACAGTTTTTTTGTCGGGGTCCTGTTATCTGCATTGGACAGCAGCCTGGAGGAGAGCGACGGCAGAAACACTGCAGGAAAATCGAACGCGAGACCTTTGGTCGGAAGCAAAAGAGGCATTGCTTGGAGACATGCCAAAGCGCATACCGTAGCCCTGATCTTCACACATCCATAAATCTTCTCTAGTACAGCCTCATCGGCACCTGGCAAAAAGCACATGTACCTCACACGTACTCCGTCAGTCAAAGTCGGACAGACTTCCGAAGCTTTGGCATCGTTTCGGGCGTTTGGCTGTGCTATTCAACTTGTCAGAATCTAAAGTCTTGGCGAGTTTGCTACTCCAGGATGCAGCCTGCTCTGCTGGAAAGCAGCACTGGCGACCACCAGAACTCCTTGCAAGGCTGCGGGTTGGGGATTCCCAAACCCTAAATCCTTAACCTCGAAACCCTAAACACTCAGAGTCTTGTGTGTGTGTGTTTGCAAGTAGGGGATCAACGATTTCGCACGCGGTCTCTCGATCTCACACTGGGCTCGTAGTAATCTTGTTGATGTGGATTCGTCAGCATTCCTCACTGCTGGGAAGGTGCCTGGATCTTGCGTGCTCGGTGCATATCACCTTCACTGTAGACACTCCATTAAGTTGGAAGCCATGATCTCGGGCAAGGAAGCCGTTGATCTACATCATTGATAACTTCGCAACCAAGGACCCGGATTTTTGGGCTCCTGCTTTCTTGTCCTTGGCCCCCCGCTTTGAAGGCAGACTGAATCCCAGAAAGCCTGGCTCCCACTATGGATTACATTACATAGTGGCCGGTCTCGACCACGCCCGAGGCCTTATGGTGCTGTCGTTCAGGTGCCATAGAAGGCCGTCGCTTACTGGTCGGACCCCTGGTCGTAGGCATAAATCTACATAATAGTCGTCGTTGCCGATGTCGGGGCTTCTATTGGACCATTGCAACATGCAGCAGCAACGAGGAGCTGTAGTGTTGTGTTGGTTGTCACGAGTATCATTGCATTCGTGGCCTCGGATCATCGAGAAATCCGGCTCCACCCAAACCAGCCATCAGAGGAGGAATGCCAGCAGGTCTTTGCGGGAAGCCCCTCCTCTGCAAAAACCTGCATGGCTTTGGTATGGGAGGCGTTGCTGAAGTAAGCTGCCGAAGTCAAATTAAAAAAATCAAGTAGATGTTAGATGTTAAGTCTGTGGTTGGAGCGTAGGCTTGCGACTTCTGTTTGCCACGTTGTATGAAGGATAAAGGCTCTCTGTTGCAACATTGGTCAAAGCTTTCAGAAAAACGTCTTGTGTTTGGTTGAGGTTTGTCGGGGTTGAATAGGGCTAACTTTGTAAAAGGGTGCCTGTGACACCTCCAAACACGTTTGAGTGGAACGCGTGTTCGCCAATCGAGTACATGCGGTTTCCCGTAGGTACCGAACCCCACACTCTAAACTCTAAGACCTCAAAGTGCGAGACTCCGGGATGCTGTGCTTTTCTTTCATTTTTGTGTAGCCTCCTAAGCCCTAAACCCCAAACCCCAAACCCCAATTCGTTTTTGTGTCGCCTCCGCGTGCCTTAGGTCACGGGCGCATGGAGTCCGCGCGAGTCTGGTCAGGGAGCATGGCCCGGCAAGCCATGAACTCCTCGGTGACATTCGGCTTTGTCTGTTTGGTTTCATACTATATCTATCTATGTATATATATATATATATTTATAGTATGAGGTCAGAATATATATATATATATATATATTTGTTATATCTATTATGTCCTTTGTGTGTCATGTTCGGTTCTAACACCTCGTTTTGCAGCGTTGGCATTGCGTGCAATGTCTCGGCACTTTCTGAAGTTCGGGGGCTAATCACATGAACATTCCAGCCCAAAGCCCAAGGATCAGAGACGAGAATATTCAATATCTTGGTGGCTCCCCGGAGGCCAAAGACTAGCAGAGTAGCAACTACTGTACGGCATGTTGGTGCTTGACTTCATCATGAGGATCATAGCGACGATGATGGTGATGGTCCGGCTGATCATGCTCATGATGTTTCCCATCGTGCTGCTGGTTACGCGCTGATGAATGATGATCTGTCCAACAAACCCCGAAGCTTGCACCGTAGCGAAAGACTGTGGGCCGGCCTCGAAATACATCTGTCCATTTGTCCCAAACCCGCTAGCACTCAAAGCACACTTCGCCAAAACTCCGATGCCCTGTGCAAAAGCCCTGCCTTCCACTGCAGCTTGAAGGCGCTGCCCGCTCAACCCGGCTCCCTCCAATCCATGCTCAGGAGAAGTGGTCTCACAACGACTCTGCGTCCAAAACAAAGAAGACTGTTTAGGTGGTCTTTCTCTTTTCTGTGGTGTGTTTTTGGTGAGTTCACGCTGCGGCTTAAGAAAGGAGGGATCACACATAAGATTGTAGCATTATTGTAGTGTATGAGTTCTATGTTATGGGTATTGTACCTTGTGGTGTATGATGTTCCAGACTCTCTCGGCAATGATTGAGGACGTTGAACAAGCCAGAGAACTGGACAGCAGAAGCTCTCTTGCAAGAAGACCCTCNNCCCCCCCCCCCCCCCCCAACCCCCCGAAACCCTGAAAACCGAACCGAAGCCTCGGTGTCGAAACCGAACCTTCATGTTTAGGGTTTAGGGATGAGTGAGCCCCTTGGCAAGTTTTCGAGGAAGCCTTGGTTGAGACACGAGCTTCCGCTTGGTTCCGGGTTTACCCCTGACACCCCAAAATTAAGCCATTCAGGAGAGTTCATCTATCCGAAACTATCCTACTGTTGATGATATAAAT